GTTGTTTAAATTTTTTTTCAGTTCAGGCAACCTTCAGTATTTTTCGCCACAACCACATCTCGCAAGTTTCTGAACGACTCCTGCCCGTTTTTAGCTACAAAGATGTAAAAATCTTCTTGGAAACAGGAGGATTACAGATAACAAAATCATTGTGAACACCGCGTTGGAAAATATGACAAAATAAGGCTGTAACACGAGTTTAAAGATAAATTTCCTACATGCTTGATTATTTTACAGATTGCTTGGATTTGACAGCAAGGAACATGGTGAACGTTTTCACAGAGATTTGAAAGTCATTGAAAAAATATACAGACGTTTATTTTAACTATTTATTTTCTGGCGCGGGCGACCCGCCGTCTCCTTCCAGTGCTTGGCCTCCTCAGCACCTGAAATCAAACAGCGCCACAGAAGATCGTCTGCTCCAACGCCTCTGCCCTTATATTTTCGATCCTCCCTTACCTTCACGCCCTAATGTGCTAATTACTGTGCCAGTTTTATTTTATTTAGTATATTGACCTGTTAGTTATCAATTGACGACTTATGACTTATTTCTGAACTGTTTACTAACTATACATAAAATTACTGATTAACTTACTTATTGTTACCTTATTGACTTATTTATTTCTCTCCGCTCAAGCTAACCGGTGCTGTGTTCCCACTCCCTAATTTCAGTTCCCTAATGGTCCGAACCTTTCCTAATTCTTTCATAAATTTAGACCTTTTATCGCCTAAAATGTTTTGGGCGGGCGTTACGTTCCTGTTTAGGAAGTAGTAATTTCCCATTCCCATCCATTTTCTTATCCATGATTCGGTTGCATAGCAAATTAAGAGGATGTGGATCCAGTCTTCCCTATCACCGCAAAAGAAATTAAAAAAGAAAGAAAATAATTCTCATGCTCGTAGAAGAAGAGCAAAAAGAAGAAAATTTCTGCCTGTAAAATAATATACTAAATTATACCAGGCATGGGTATTTCTTGTGAAATGTATGTGCACTATGTTTACTGTAATGGACCACGCTGACGTGAATACTCGTGCCGCAGTGAGTCGCACTATCATAGGGGTGCCGTCACACTCAAGGTGCAACGGTAATTTCCAGATACCCGGAGCATGCGCTAAATTTATTTTTACGGGTGCGCCAAGCGTATGCCTACCTGTATCTGGACGCCGGCGTCGAGACATCAACAGGGGTGGGCGCCCTGGGTCGGAGGTTGCATTTACTAACTAATTATTAAAAAAAACAACACATTTTCCTAGTAAAATCACCCGACCAAAACGACGGGGACACGTTTATTGTTCGTGTTGATCTTCTACATTCGACGGTTAATTGAATACATGGACTTACAGTGATGTGACGGCTGGAATTTAGATACTTCACTCCGAAAGGATTACACACTCAAGTGGCAGTCGGTGGCAACAGATGGCCCGCCGAATAGTCATGGACTTCTCCGGAAGTCGGCAGGGATCTGCGCCTGGTTGAGTCGGAGACCGCCCCGAGTCCAGTGGAGTTGAGGACGCAACGTCTGATGCGCTGGTCACAGGCCGTCAAACGTCGCCTGGACCGCGTAGTGTTTAGCAGCCGAGAAACAATGCTGCACTCCCTCGTGATGGTTCTAGTCCGACATTCGGAATAAATTCCGATGCTGGAGTTGTCGAAATCACTGGCTCGAGATTATTACCAGTTTCTCGTGCGGCGGTAGTCACCGTTAAAATTTCAAACAAATCTCCGAGCCGACCGCTCACTTCGACAGTCTATTTCTATCTGTCCAGACCTTCCAGCCCCACCCCTCTCGCAAGATGCCCGACCTATCCCGCAAAACTTAACGGAAAGTTACATGCGAAGTTTTCCATAGGCTGGTCTTGATTTACAGTAGGCTGCTGTCGTCTCTTATTGCAACAGTTCTGCCCGTCCATCACCCACTGTTGCACAAAGGGGTGGAAGGCTGGCTTTCGGGGGCGGTTACGAGCAGGGGTACCGGCACGCGTGCAGCTGTGTGTGTCTAATGCGCGAAAGAGGCACTCTTTGCCTCGAAGTATTTTAACTTAGCGTGACTCGAGGGTCGCGCTTGTGCGATAAGCCTTGCTCATTGCATTACAATTACACGATTATCTAATTCTAATGTACACCACTTTCTTAAGCATGACAATGATCTTGTAGAAGGGTATTAAATATAGTAGTAGGAGTAGTTCCTCAGGTTGCGGACGACCTCTGGTGATCCATTTATGGATATACTCAGCAGATGAGGCAGCCACCCATTTATACATTAGTTCTTTCTATTTTCCTTGAGTTGTTGCTACTATAATCCTTCACTTCGCTCGGATGATAGAATTCCAGTCTAGCCCTAGTTCGTCTTCATTTCATCTGAACACCTTAGTTTCCTCCTGACCCTGCATCCAGAAATATACTATAGCATTAGATCCTTCTCCAAAGAAACCTATCTTCTCATCAATGTCCGAAATATCGCAGTTTAAGGCTAGTAGCTACAGCTGCCAACGAAGAGCTCGGTTGAATTTTCTTTAGAATACATGTGTTTCTCCGCCTAGCAGTACAAGGAACTCTCAGCATCTTTGTCCACGTCCGCATTTCAAACGCGTCTAATTTTGTTTTTCCTACTTTAAGTGTTCAGCTTTGAATTGAATTGAATTTGCCTTATTTTACGTGGCGAGACTCGGGCAACCAGGCCCGCTCTTCCGTCTGACCACGCAAATTTCGCTACGCTCCTTTCATCAACTAGCAGACAGAGGAGGTATTTCTTGGGCGAGAAACAGGCGATTTGAATTTAGCTCAGAGGCGTCATTTAGGCTTGAGGATCTTTTAATCCACTAACATGGGACAGCCGGCTTTACTTCCCCTCCGAAGGAAGGCGTTCGAAGGATTTTGTCGCCCTAAAAATCCACGGCTTCGATCGGGTTTGAACCCGCGAGCTTGGGTATAACAGTCCGGTACGCTAACCGTCGCCGCCGTTAAACAGCTTTCACAACCATATAAATATACTGGGTAAATATGAAAATTTACGGTCATGGATAAATATGAAAGAAGTATTCATATTTAAATGAACCTGATAGAGGGAAACTGTCGACACACTTGGAATAAGCACTCCAAAATTAGGGAGAGGAATCATTCGAAACACACAAAAGACCACCCCAAAAAAAAAAAAAAAAAAAAAAAAAAAAAAAAAAAAAAAAAATGTAGAGCAGTGTAATGGGAGAAATAGTAATTTACTAGCGGCCTACAGCAACAAAACTGTTGTCGGGTGTGGAAAATGGGCCCAAGAGCAGAAAAACTTGACTTTTCTGAATGACACACGTGAATACTGAAGTTATCGGCTTTCTCGGCTCAAGATGTCAGCGCTGAGCATGAGAATATAGTCGTAACATCAGGTACGAACAATTACGGCAATTCCGCCAAATGTGCCCATATATAATTGAAGATTCATTTTTTAAATTATGAAATACTTTCATAATTACCCTATGGCGGTGAATAGTATAACAGCTCCTCTAGCTAACGAAACTAGACATTCTGAATAGATAGAGTAAGGTATAGTCAAAACGACTAATGGCTGAGGCGCCTCCTGCTCAATGAGCATAGGAAAGAGAAGTTTTGCCGATTAAACAAGGTAGACCAATTAAGGTATCTAATAGACATTGTTCTATATATTTATGTATTCCATATTACGATGTACATATACCTTCTTTGAGAATTGCTAATTTCGCATTGCTTGCTCTGACACTTAACAAAATTACATTGAAACAATACACCTATTGTTTATTTAGAGGTCGATTTGCTGTTCTAGCGTACTTACTTTTGCTGTACTAGCGTTCTTCGATAATGCTTTTTGAAACTTTTCGAAGGGCATTGGGAGTTTTCACGCACTGTTTCCTTCCTCTTGGAACTCATTCTCTTCTACAAACCATGTGATTGCCATGTCGCATCTTTTCGCACGAAAATAGTTGGATTCTAATTACCGCGTTACAGTATCAAAACTACGATTTTTCTTTGTGTTAGTACATACTTTACTCTACAATGCAGCTTCAAGAAAAACTCAGCACTTTCGCAACAACACACAATGCATGTGAAAAATCTGGCAACAAAGAACCATTACTTACAAAGTACAGTAAGTACTTACAAAGAACTCTTACTGCACACGGGTGTGTGCAGTAAGAGTTCTTTGTCAGTACTACCAAGTACCCTATATCACAGTTTGGATCAAGGCAGTTGGCAAACATGCGTCTGTGGTGATGTCTTTGGGTGAAGACCCCCCCCCCCCATCACTAAGGCCAGTCATTAGCACGTGACCACTGGGATTCTCAGTCCTGAAAGAAGTGGTGGTGCTCAAAGCACATGGCAAGTTTTGGGTGGGGAATTCAGAAGCGCCAATGAGAAGTACGAGATGGCACATCCACGGAGGTGACAAGGCCTACCGGAAGGCGCATGGAAGAGGAAAAAAAACAACAAAAGCTCCGAAACACTCGGGGATGCGACATCAGTCTAATGGGTATATTTTGACAAGCAGATTGTTCATGCCCTTGTGAATATTTCATATTTGTGAAACTCGTTCGATTCGACATTTTTTCTGGTAGGGCGAGGAAGCCCAGACATGAACTTACATATGTTCAAGAGCCGCCAAAAGCCCGCTCATGTACTAAAGACCGACGGCGGCGGCAGTGGCGTCTATTGCTACGATACGATATACCATGGGCTGACAGCACGCGGGGCCCTCGTATATTATGAACTCGCAGGTTTCTTGGGTCTGGAAACAACATTCCCATGAGGCTGAAATTAATACTGAACTTCATAATTATAATTATTTCAGGGAAGTACCGATTACCTATTTCCCTATTACTAGCATCGAGTGAATTGTCTATACATCAGGTTTTACACATGTCTATCTTTCGAGCGAGGCTGAAGAGCTCTACTGAAACTAGTTTTATTCAGCAACAATATGATGAATATGATTTACATTTAATGTTAGCAGATATGCACACAAGAGCAAGAAATGTGACGAAAATCAGCAATGAGAAATACACACAGTTCTGTAAAAATTGAAGAGGATCAGAACAAATTGCTTTTGGTTTGTACAATTCAATTACGTCAATTTCGTTTACAGCCACTTATGGCAGATAAAGGAATACTTGTACTTTTAGTGCCTCAGATGGAGTAGAGCTCCTAAATCATCTGCCTTGCTCTAGCTAGAGCACAACAGATCTATGATTCTTCCTTGGGACCATCTTATGACATATCACTGTGTTCTGGAATTTTTTTTTCTCCATATCAGCAATTCCACAATCACTAAATTCTCGTGAAAAGTTTTCACTTACAATAAACGAAAGAAAGAAATAACATATAGTAAGCAATGCACTCCATCAATAATTGCCGAGTTATTCAGTTAAACTCGAAGTTACTTTTACTGGGCACATATATTCTGTCCAGTCCATAACAAAAACCATATTAAACACATTACAAACTATTTAAAAGTCTCTTGTTTAAAAGAAGAATGAATAACACAGCCAAAGTAAAAGTACGTACAATAAAACATATTTTATTTATTAATAGTCAAATAAGTGAGTTTGTAAGTAAAAAAAAAAAAAAAAAAAAAAAAAAAAAAAAAAAAAAAAAAAAAAAAAAAAAAAAAAAAAGAGAAAAAAGAAAGAAAGAAAGAAAGAAAAAGAAAGAAAGAAAGAAAAAGAAAGAAAGAAAAAGAAAGAAAGAAAGAAAAAGAAAGAAAGAAAGAAAAAGAAAGGAAGAAAGAAAAAGAAAGAAAGAAAGAAAAAGAAAGAAAGAAAGAAAGAATTCCATCTATGACCATTGAATGGCTGAGCTTTTCATTTAGCATTTACACTTTTCTTTTAAATAATTTTGAAGATATAAGACAAAAGAGAAACATTTCATACATAACAAGAATATCTTCATCATTGAGTAGTTCTGATATAAATTCCTAGTTATGCTGTATTTCCATAGCATTATTCATAAAGAAACATCTTTGTAAAGGACAATGTATTTTCAAGCATTTTCAACATATGGTGTCTTTGAATTATCAATTCAACAATTATGCGATTGATTTCAACAAAACTTTATTAACATATATAATAAAAATGGAGAAATTAATACATACTAGCATCTTCCAAACAGGTTCATATTTCATAGGTATCATCCTACAATATACTATGAAACTTGTTTTGTTGTTGAATGACTAACATTTCTCTCTTCATTTTGACTGCTAGCTCTACATTCAAGTTACATGAGTGACAGGAAGTCTCTGAACTATGAAACAAAATGGAGTTGGTATTTCCACAGGAATTTCAACATAACAAGAATGTGAAATGCAAAAATGAGAGAAAAAATAAAATATTAAGAGCTTCTAACCTGACAATCACAAAATAATTAATTATTCACAATTATCTTTTAAGTTCTTTGGAGCTTCTTCCTTCCACAAAATGTGGTGACTAAATAATATACATCAATTAATCATCTTATCAATAGCTAGATTCTAACACATCTCAAAATTTGGCCATTTTGAGATAACGGCACCCAAGTGAAGAAATATAGTTTTCTAACGAATTGTAACAAAACTTATCACAGAGAATTTGATAAACTGATGGAAATTGTCATATTTTGGGGGGCTTATAACGGAAACACTGCAGCATTTTTCTCTTGCCTGAAAACTTGCAATTTTTGAGATATGTTTTATTAAAACTTAAGACAGCAATACATTTTTCCCCACTCTTAATCAGTCAGTTTGCATGGCCCATCATATATAAAAGCCTTTGCTTAAAAATATTCAGGGTTTGAAACCCTGACAGAGAATTATCTAACACTGCACATCCAATATCTAAAATAATACACAATACAAATGATCTCCACTATGAAATTAATGGCACTGGTCTACAGTACATAAGTAATAATTATTGCATAAATCTTAAAATTTTATTTATCTCATACTCATAGGCGTGCACAGCCTGACACAAGAGGGGGTGGGGTAACTATATTTCTGGGCCTGCTTTTCCACTGAACTTTTTTGTATTTTATTAGTAAAAGTATAAAGGATACTACATGGAGAATGAAATGATCATTTAATGAAAATTGTGAAGCAGGCCAAGACCCACCTAGAGTTGTCGCACCATGAAAACACTGATGCAATACTTACAGTTGATTGTATATTGGACCATTTACAGTATTGACAGATGATTTGGAGAGTTCTTTCCCCAAAGGTCTCAGAACAATTCTTCAAATTGTTAGGTTAAGGGGGGAGGAGAGGATACTACATAAGGCTATGAGGCACCTTTAAACACTTTTAGAGGGCAATGGTCCCCTGGCCCCTCCTGTAGGCATGCCTATGCTTATACTACAATTACACTGACACCAATGAAGGTGAGCATCTCAACAACGTGGTAGGGATGTTAAAAGAAAAGAATAATGGAATTTTTTATGCCTCTGGGTCTTCTTCTCTGAATACAGTGATACATTTTAATAATAAATATATAACATTCTATCCTAGACCCAGCATGAAACAAAATTAATTTTTAACCATTACCCAAATCAAAAAAATATTTTCGTAAGAAGAGACTTACACTAAAGTATCTATTTTTTCTTCAGAGCTTATATCAGTCAGAATAGGTTTAAAGTCATAAACAATAAATAAATTGCGGAGCTGTATTATTTCAGTAATATAGTTCGTAAACTGTCCTCAGGACAAATTTCAAGAACTACACTTGTGCCATCATTGAAGTTAAAGAATACTGTTCCATCTACAACCAAACCAGCATCAAAACACCTTGATCGAACTTCAAGACGTTTCACATGTCCTCGAGGAGGTATACCTTTAGGAGAAGGCCATACTTCTGCAGATATTAAATCACGGATAGTATAACACATATCCAAATTATCTGAAATTAGAGAGAGAGAAAAAAAAGAATAAGTAAAGGAAAAGATACAAGCTTACAAGCTGCGATATGCATGTGTACCAACAATAGAAATATTGTTAGTGAGTAATGTGAAACTGTTGGTGCACAACAAAAGTCGAACATCTCAAAAAATTTTATTTAGTTAAGTGAAGATATATTTATTATTACTTACAAAAGTCGATTATTACCAGTAAAAAATTCACTGATATTTCACAAGACAGCCTAGAAATAGAGTAAACCACTCTGTGAAATAAACAGCTCTGCAAAATAATTGCTGCTTTCCGTGCATTAGGTGTTCGGTGTGTCATCCACCAGATGTTGAAGAAATTCATATATTCAGAATTCTCTTTTAACTTGCCTTGGAGAATATTTTATTAATTCTGTGTTTATTTTGTCATTACCTGGACTATTCTTGTTCTTATATGCTTTTAAAACATTGTCTAGTTCTTCCACTGTTGTAAGGTCAACAGAATGGAATATCATTATATTGGGAAGTATTTTTCATCTTTCTTCATTAGTGGATCAAAGGGTTTTAAAATAATTTAGCCATGTTTCATCGAGGATGATGTTAATTTGTGCTGTCTCACATTCTTCCTTATTGAAATGCTTCAAAATTTTGGAAGCGTAGTCAGAATTTCTAATGAGAGTGAGCTATAAGTTAGAAATATATTTATCTCAAGCCTCAATATTCAATATTCTCATGGCTCTTTTAGCTAAAGCACTCTTTCTTTTACATTAAATTTTATCAGTAATAGATTCTGAATTCAAATACTTCATGTAAGCTTTCTTCTTGACCTTACTAAGGTATTCAATTTCCTCGTTCCAGAGGTTTAGTCATATTTTCTTCGATCTCTTACGTTGACGTCCCAATGATTCAAAAGCTGCTTTCAAATGCTTTAAAAGCCAAATTATTCCCTTTAAATCTTCATCCAGGCTCATTGCTCTGTGATCTAACTTTTCTATAAAATCTTTGCCAATATAATTTACTTATTCCATCTACATGAAATACACAGGTTTTCAAATATTTCTCTCTAGACTTTGGCAATTGTCGATGTTTAGTAGCCCATCTAGTTATTAAGTTGATGTGAGTTTAATGTTGATACCTTTTACTACCCAATGCTTTTATTTGTTTTTCCACTAGACCATTTCCTACTTACAAAATATCTCAACCTTTGATGATTGAAGAGTTACTGAAGATCTGCCTGAGGATGCATGCACACAAGGCATATAAAATATTCCAAAAAACTTGATAATGACAGGGACAAAATAAATGATAGTGAATTGATGCCTTATTTTACGTGGCGAGACTCGGGCCATCAGGCTCACTCTTCCGTCTGACCACGCAAATTTCGCTACGCTCCCTACTAATGGAGAAAGGCAGCATTTCTTTGGCGATGAAACAGGCAATTTGAATTTATCTCAGAGGCGTCATTTAGGCTTGAGGATGTTTTACATGCAAGTAAATCTGCTTACAATGGACAGCCAGCTTTACTTGCCCTTCGAAGGAAGGTGTACGAAGGATTTTTTTCACACTTCCCCTTCTTTGTGACCTTCTTGATAAATGATAGTGACCTTCTATCATTAATATTAGTGGATATAACTAAAATAAATAAAAAATATTAATAATTCCTCATCCAAACAATACATACCTGATGTGAATGCAAGTCCATCATTGTATTGTTGAGCGACACGAGATGCAAGCCCGGGGTCTACTGAACTAGCAGCAACCCCTTCTTTCCCTAGGATTCTGATTACTTCATTGACACTCTGTTCAGTAAGACGATTCATACTTAAATGCCAGGATGTGGAACCAGTACCCGTAGTGACACAGAGTCCAGATGACTTTACACGCCATGCAGAAGTATCATCATTCACTCTCATTTCAAAGTAAGATACACGTGCAGAAAGTTTCTCACCAATAAACACCTGTAAATAAGTTAGAGAAAGTTGAAGTTCACATAAACAATAATAAGAAAGAATTTCACTATTTTTCAAAGTAATTGTTGAGTTAAATTCTTACTTTTGGTACAGTAAACCATGTATTAAATGATTGTCAAGATTCATATACTTCCTTAAAGCAAAACAAATATACTCTGATGGGAATAATACAACAAAGAAAGAAACCTATGGAATCGTATTGATACACGTTTCTAGTTCTATTACTTTATATTTTTCAATTAATTTACACATAACCATATTTACCTGAATATAAGACGAAGTTTTTCTGAATTTTTCTCTTAGTTGAGAAATGCAGGGTCATCTTATAATCGCAGATTAAGCCTAGTAAGTTAGAGTGTAAGTTTTTACATTGCCAATTCAAGTCGTGAAACTTGTAAATGTTGACATAATAATAAACTGCGAAGACAGTAAAAATATCACGTCTATCTACAATACATAACTATATTTGTGTTTGTACTCTTGGCTTCTACCACAAATATGTCTGGCAATTCAGACTGATGTTTTTGAATGGTCTGGTAAAGACAGAATCTCAAAATGAATGGCATTGAAGCAAATTAATTGTAATGGGAAAATAAATGCCGAGATTTTGTTACATGATGAGGGTTTGGCGGAGCTGTGCGGAATCACGGTTTGACACATGCTTCAAATGCTCAAATGCTAATCTGCTTTTTGAACGGTTAAACAGATGCCATCAACACGACGGATAGAAAATCTGGTGACACAAAAGGAAATGTTCTTTGGTTGCTTCTGATGAAAGACTACGAACGCAAATTTAGTCTGCAAAACTTTCAGAGGGGTCTAAAATGTCAGAAGATGTCGCAGCATGAAAGGAGGACCAAAAAGAAAGAAACATTGATACATGTGAAGATAATGAGGGAAGTGACAAAAAACACGATTATGATTTTAAGGAACAAGAAAATGATAGTTCAGCAAGAAGTCTTAACATTCTCATCATCAAGGCAATTTTAGTCAATACGACATTTTGTGATTTTATTTTGACTATCAAACTTGAATTTCAATTTAGGCAAGTTGATTGTATTCGACTAAGCTAAATCTGTGAATATAAAATGACCCCCCTATTTTTAACGACAAATTTAGGAATATAACCTAGTCTTATATTTGGGTAAATATAATATTCCTTCAGTAATTTGCATTTCTTCATCAGACAATACTGTAGGTTGTCAACCTATTTTGAATTTATTATATTTTCCAGTTTATCAATAAGCATTGAATAAGATACAGTATCCTTCTGATTCAGCATTACGCAATGTAAACATGTGGAATTTGCGTTTGGCAAGACCATGATTTATGTTCACATTAGATAGAGTTCTGCCTTATACAAGTTCCGCATTGAGCAAGTTTTACTGTACAACAAACACTTGCACATCGCAGTCTGTCCTGCTAAGACATTCCAAGTTATAGTTTTGTTTCCCACTAAAACCAGGATTCTTGATATGAACTCTCACAATGAACAGATTTAGATTTATCCTCATAAGTTACCCATTCATTAATTTAGATTTGTCTGCCTAACATATAAAACTAAATATAAAATCTCACCTAGGTGAAAATTTATTTCACTTGCATCAAGCACATGTTTTGGTACTTTGTTTTGTCCCAATAACATATACAAAATTTTCATACAACTAAACGACTGTTGATTCTGACGTAAATTGCAAATATGCTCCAACTATAGGCAGACTATTACCAAGTGTTTGAAACATTTCCCAGAAACAATGGAAAGAGATTCTCAAGATTTATCTGCTGCAACAATCGACTATTCAATAGTGAATCCAGCACAAAATATCGGATTTATCTAATTTTCTGGTACATCTGTTATAATCTTACTGCTCAGTTGCATTTATCTTCACGCTTCATTGAAAGATACTATTAACACTTTCCAGACTATGCCCAAGCACTGCTCGGGCAAGCATGCAGTGCTCGGTTTCACGTTTCAAGGCTCATGTTAAGGAAATGGGAAGGTTTAGTCAAGCACCACTTGTTTGTCGTTTGGCAGTAGTTACAAGTATTTCGAAAGAATTCAACCATTTTGCAGCACCTACCAAGAGATATTTCTTTACATTTTATATTTGTGCCTGAATCAGCTGAGAACTGGAGTTAGAAGATGGCTGACGCGAATTTGCAAAATTATCCAGTCTAAACATAGTCCAGCCCCCAAATTAAATATTTTTATATCACTGTTATTACCAATAAAAGAATGGAAAAATAACATGTTTCTGAGTAATAATAATGGTCTATGCATTATTTGAAGAATTTTCCCTTAAAAAAACATACCCTTTTCAAGCGGAATTTCAAGAATGATAAACACCCTGCCTATTGATAAAATATGTCATTATAAAAAGGAAATGTTACTTATAATAACATTATAATGTAATTCTACTTATAGTAAAAATACAAAAAATTGTCCAAAACTGCCAAGTCTGTTGGGATCAAGAAGACCCAGAGAGTCCAGAAAGTATTAATATAATACATAAGGGAAAATGCAGATATGATTACCTCATTCAAAGCTAGAATTGGTAGGCGATGTTGAGGAACTGCCATATTTTCACCACATTGAGATGCCCGTATCTTTTGCAACTCTGTCATGCAATCAAAAAACCTGTAATGGCAAAATAAAAAAATTAAATCATTTTTCAAAAACATCATTTTGGTTACAAATTGCCTGCCTCAGAATCAAGATTTCTAAATTACAAACAATCACATATCAGAAATGTCAAAGTGCATTAAAACACACTCTTGTGAACTCAAATTTGCATCTTGAACATCAAGAAACATGAAAACAAAATAGATTTTATGATTTTTGTACAAAATTGAAATACTTTAGATATTACCTTATTTACATCTCATACAGGCATTTTTTAAACACAATTTTCCAGAAATTAAGATGCCCTTTATATGCAGATTCCAAGAATAGTTTCACATAAAACACAATATAAAATCAAAAAGAAAGATTTACATTACAGACATTGAATGTTCAATAATATGTTGTATTTATACAAAAAAATTATATTTAAGAAAATCAAGTATAAAGAAAGTAAAAAAATATTACTAAAAATGTAAGAAAAAGGTTTAATTCACTCCAGAAAATTAAAAGACACTACACAAATTCTTGAAAACAATCATTTCTGAAATTGAACTAAATTTAAATTTAATGAATTTTACTGCACAGCAAGCTGAACAAATAAAGAAATTTGAAAACTTTGAATACATTTCACTACTCACAAACAAACAAAGTATAATGAAAGTAACTCCCCTGTGATGGGGTTCCAACAATTCTGGCTCGTGTAACTCTGTGGGCGACTGGAAAATTTCCTTTCCCTTCATAGTGATTCGGATCCTACTGCGAAATTTCCAGGTAAACTCGCCCTGCAAGAAATGTTCAATTCTATATACGGAAATAAGCGACTGTTAATAATTTTTGCTTATTAATCACAATATACAAGCTAGACTACAAGTATCTGCATGATTTCCTTGCACATTTTTAAACACTCATTTACACATGAAACTATGGTTTTCATTTTCTGTTATTGTCAACAAAGGGTCACCAACTTTCAACTGTCCACTGTCAAGTTTTCCAAAAATCTTGATATTTTTTTTAAAAGTAGTTGAGAAATAAGATGTTCATTGTAATTCACACTCCACTGAACTAATTTTTATAATATGGTTAAATTTTCAGAAAAACTGTCAACACCTATTGTCTAGAAAGCCACAAATCAGTTAATTTTCATTGAAACATATGTTTAAAACCAAAACTAAGGACACATTATCGTAATATATTTACAAAAGTTACAATTACATAATTTGAATGAAACTGCAAAAGAAGACCTACTTTTATTAATACTATCATTAATATTATTACTTTAACAAATTAATATTTTGAATGCTTTGACAAACTTAAGTTCTTATAAATCAAACTGAAATCTTTTTACAGCTGTAAAAGCTTTTTTAAGAGCATCAAGTTGTTAAAATGTTTATATAACAAAATGTCTTCAAAACCAGTCTCCAAATTTCATTTTTGACAGCACAAAATCCTTAGAATATATCCCCTTTTATACACATTAAATATTGTAGAGACATTGAAAGATAAAACTTGGAACCGTTAATATTTATTATTTGAAGTTTATGTCAATTCGTTTACGATATGTCAAGGACTTTCTAATAAATGTTATGGAACCACTATATTATTTAAGATACTCATCTTCCAACAAAGTAAATACTTAATTATCGAATTTAATTCAGTTTTAGCAAGCTAATGTAACTTCAAAATTATTACTTTTTATCCAACTAACTTTGATTAATTTTTGTTTTTATTTTCATTCCAATTTCCCCCCCTCAAATGTCCTTTGGGTCTTCATGTTAAGTACTCACAAAACTAAAAGATACATTTTAAAATCACATGGAATTGAGTTATGCCAGACCGATCATTGAATAACCAATTTGGAAAAAATCTTGGATATGGTTTAGGCACTAGTTGTTCACAGGCAAAAGTTTTGAAAATAAAATAAAATAAAATAAAATAAAATAAAATACACCTATATTTCTGTCAAAATTTCAACATTGATTTTTTGCTGCATTACCTAACTTTCTCTACGTACAAGTATATAAGAAAGTAAAATTGTTCTTTTCTAGGGAGACTACCATCGCTAATAAGAACAAGATTGTTAATGTCCATATCAATGTGAAAATGGTATAAATACTTATGTACATACGTTTTGCTTCTTATAACTTACTGAAATTTGTGCATCTGCTATTTAAACCAATTATTCACTTTATTTCTCAAAAGTTGTATAAATAAGTTTCTAATACATTTCAACCTTTTCTAAGAAATTACCAAATATCTTTACATGTTAGAGATAAATACTTTATACATCCAAAGTGAGACATCAAATGAATTGAAAGCAAATTTACAAGCATTGATTTTTTCCCTCCTGCACTGCTGTTATTCATTTTAACCAACAGCATTTGGGCATAATTCTAAAAACTGGTAGGATTCAATTTATATAATTAAAAATAAATCTTCATTTTATGGCAAACTGAAAATCAAACACCTTGGGTCCTCAAATAAAAATTTCACATTAAATTTATACAAGCAAATTGGATCATGTGAATAAAAGTTAATTACTTAAAATCTGAAGTAAATAGTAAAAGCATTTGCAACCAAACAAAAGCATTTACTTAATTTTGTGCAAATAACCGCATACTTGTACTAGGAAGCAAATGCTGGAAAACAAGTAAACTCTCGTTTAAAAATACAGGGAAAACCAGTACATACTCATATCATGAGAAGTGATTTGCAAAGTGAAGTTCATACAGCTGATTCAGTTATTAGTAAGACAGAAGAAATGAGTCCTTCAAATGACATAACTGAAAAAGACTATGACGCTTGACAAACGCAATTCATGAAAACCATTTAAAAATATAATGTAATGTTAAATAAACCTTAACTCCAAATAAGGCAACCTAATTTTTCCCCATGGATAGAGCAAAGAACGCTTAAAAAAATGGCGCAGGTTTCATTGTCAACTCTCTCAATTTTTAGAAAATGCATAGCTTTTTAAGCATTGGGAATGTTGAGTTCAGCATCTAACTGGTGATGTAATGGTAATGTGTCTAATGTGTTGTCTCAAGGTTTATGAAGTGATATATTGCGTAGCCTGTACAAAGCTGTTGCAGCACAAGTTTAAAAATTTAATTATAAGAACATTCTTGTGGCATGTGAGGGTCCCTGAAGGGAGTTAAAAGTCGAGGAGTACTACAGTAATCACTGCTACTAAGGAGTACAGCATCACTTTGTTACTAATTCCTCATTGCAGAACTTGCTCAGTTTCAAAATTCTGTTATCGTAAACAGACCCTGGTCACTAGACACAATTCTGCCTTATAATTGCAAGTGTCCTGAACATCAATTTAAGTAACAACCTCGTTGTTGAGATATTCATCTCCATGTACCAACACACAAACTTGTTACTCTGAACAGACTCTCTGGACTTGGCAGCAAAAACTTTCTAATGACAGATTTCATGTGTGCAGTCACCACCATGCTTAAAAAATTTGTAGTACTTGTGAAATTAAGTAAAGGTTCAGTTTTATTCCCATTATTTTAAGTAAATATTTGGAAAATAAGTTCTTAGTACAGGAGAAAAGTATGTAGTGTAAGTAAATAATATATACAAGTAAACGCTAGTATTTAAGTTTTATTCACCAAATGTATTTACTTCAAAAGCTTCTAGTATAAGCATTTACTTACTTTTATTCACATGACCCATTGTTAAATTGTGACACCTTTCACTGATCTCTGCCAACTACTCCTACATTATCATGTTATCTCAATGCACTAACATTTTTCAACTTGTCAATCATCTCTTCAAAATTGTTAGTAGATTGTGGTGACAAACAAAGACGCCCCTCTGAACGTGATGGATCAGAATTCAATCCCACAACTGGTGTTGTATTATCAGGAACACGACTAGCAGCCAAAAGGAAAGTGCCATCACCACCTGCAGCAAATACAATGTCTGCCCATGACACCTGCTCCTCAGAGTAGTTGAATCTGAAACACAGAAAATGTGCATTAATTGCTTGTAGTACCCAAAGAACACCTGAAACTAAAAAAATTGTGTTTTTCCATTTATTTCTACATCACAATAGTTTTGAGTTTTCTCTCAACATCAGGGTTTTCCAGAGTTCTTTTTGTATCAATCTAGTATTGTAAAAGAAATTTATAAGACCTATTGTAGAAGATAAGCATGATTTACAGAGCGAACGAGAAACACCTCCCTTATGAAAATTGGTTTTACATTTTTAATTCTCAATCTATACTCATGAAATAAAGTATTTTTTCCTTATAGTAGGAGAATTTTTATAAATGTTGGCTTAAAGGCCACTACTGTCCACCAACTTTTGTAAATGTTTGACAACATTCTTGAACTCCTGCAGGCTGCTTATTCTGGCAGCATGTTTGTAAAACTCTGCAAATTTGCACCTCCAATTCATCAAGAGCTAGTTGTTTATTTATTCATGAATTAATTTGCAGGGGTTCATGGCCTCTTCAACTGCTAAAATCATTGAGGCCCATAAGTGAACTTATGTGCAGATGATAGTGATAATGCTGAGGTGAATTACTAATATAATAATCTATGTAATATTATTATGTGACAATTTCTGTTTTACACTTCAACTACCATTTGAAAAATTCTAAAACAAAGAGTGAAAAATACATTGAATTTAAAAAAAAAAACGTTTCAACGAAAACAGTTTTCTGCCACTGAATTCAGTGTATTCACGCTGTATATACATGTACCAAGGATGTGTATTTCAGCCGTAACAAAATTATTAGTTTATATTAATGTAAACAAAAGGCAGCTGTCATTATTGCCTTCTGTTATCAGTGTGGTGTTACAGCAAAAATGACTGATAATTCATATGATACACACATTTTGCCAATTAGCATTGTTGATACCTCTAGAGAAAATGAAAATGGATAGAAAAATATAATAATTAAATATTATATTTTCATATTCATCAAAATTACTGTTTTTACAAGCATTACTCTTCATTCCCACATCTTACTAAGCAAAGCAAAATCATCTATTTGTTTTCACATTTAACTCAATAAAAGGACACAATTAAATTAAAATAGGTTTTAAATAATTTCTAAAAGATTAATTTTACAATGCATAACAAAAGCTCAGATGTAAGAAACAAACAAAGAAATATGTAATAATATACAAATTCTACCTTGCGTAGCATCCAACTGCCTCAAAACACAACTGAAATTACATTCACAAAACCCACGATATTCAGAGCGGGAGAGTACGTTTGACCCCAAAATATAATTTTTGAAAAATTTAACATTACCTTATTTTATTATTCAATTTTCGAAAAATCGGGGTTTTCAACCAATGTGACACCTACACCATTCTCTTAAATGCCCTGCAGACTATCCAACAACAAAATTTCATCAGAAACTAAGGGTTTTTTGAGAGAAAATTGTTTGAACGGAAATTAAAAACTGCCTATTTCACTCAAATTACTCAAATTTTTGAAAAATTGTGTTATGACCTTATTTTAAAGTCTACTCTTAAGGAATATATTTTAATAAGGGAAAAATTTCCATATTTAAAATTTTAGTTGTAGGAAGATGTCGAAAAAATTTTGAATTTTTGCAATTTTCAAACTATCAAGGTTTTTAACTAAAATGAGACCTGCACCATTCTCTTAAACACACTTCCAACAACAAAATTTAGTCAAAAATGATGGAATCATTTTTTTGAAAATGTCCCAGGGGCTTCATATAAAGTACACTCTAAAATTAAAATATCGGTTTCGAATTCAAGGGGCCATGACAGTCAGATTGATTGGGGGAATATCAATATTGGAGAAAATCAGCTGAATGGTTTAGCCGCTAGCCTTGTTCACTGAAACAGACGGACGGACACACTTTTTGCTGCCAATTGATTTTTCGGTATCAAGGACCTACAAAACATGGATTCTGGTTACACATATTAAAGGACTTTTTCCTAAATTTAGCATTTGGATTTATCAATGTTGCCAGAGCCCTGTAATAAGAGTTTTTCTATCAAAAATTTGTTGTTTTTCCCCCCACAGCATTACAAAACTTTCTCTCTAACGTAGTGAGAAAGTAAAAAGGTAATACTCTGCGCTTTTAGTCTTATATCAGGTAAGGACCAACTACATCTGTGACGTCTCGCTCCACACTATGTCATTTGGATGATGTTAGTGACTCGTAAACTGTCCTCCTTTTCTCTATAATAACTGCATCAACTGGCTAAATTGATACAAATGTACTGCTAGAGTGCCTACATATGATTATCAACAACATCCTTGAATGTTTACAAAAACCGGTATACAGAGATAGTTATTTGTAGGCAGTTGGTAGCACAAAAATCCATACATTCTAATGAACAAAATGCTACATGTTTCATGAAAATTCATCAAGAATTAAAAAAGTTGTACCTAATTTTCAACAGGGAGTTACTGCCTCTATACCTGATAGTTTTATTCCACAATATGTTCTTCAATCTTTATTACCACCCAAAAACAATTACAAATATTTCTCAACGACACAGCCCTGGACATTACTGCATATTCAGGACTTATCATATAATCATAACTCCACTGAATTAAAAAGTTTAAAAAAAGGTATAGTTGACAGTGTTCAGGTACAGAGTTGTGACATTTCTCCTGAACAAAAAATAAAATAGCTTACGAAGTTACACACGACAAATCTAGAATTAAAATTTAGTGACTTTAATAGTTTTGAAATATTTTTTGATTTACAAGGATGGCACTCTTTACATCAACTTTAAATCACATAGTCAACAAGATAGAAATATTAAATTATAAGTATTAGATACATAGGCACGTGCCCATGGGGGGAAAATAACCCCCCTGAAAACTACAAGGATACTGTAGCTCTATGTAACATAACATTTCCATAAATAAGACCAATTCCTGATTTTCCACTTTTTTAAGCTCACAATTTAGAGAATTGATACAAGACCTTTCAGAAAGACTCTCTCCAAACGGTTTCAACCTAAAATAAATTGTTTTTCTAACATCTATCATTCATGTTATATCCACATTCTCATTGAGATATGTTTTATTCATTTTCTATCATATGTAAATAAAAATCTTTAATGGGAAAGGGGGCACATAGTTGCCGCTTCCCTCCCTGTTGTCTTAGGCTTGCATGCCTGTAAACAGATTTAAGGCTAATGTCAGCATTACAAGTACATTTAAAATTTCATTATTTTGCATGACTTTGTGAATCTACTAAAAAAAACTTATTAACTTTCTGAAATCTCCAAAAAAGAAAGTTGCCAACTTTAATTTCTCAAAAGCAGGTTCTTTGTTTCTTTTTAAATCTTCTCAAAATGTGTGATCTTACCAATGAAATGAAATTTTCATTAGTTTAGTTTCTGAATAATATTGTTGTTATCAGCTCAAAATAAGTAAGTAATCTGCACTTATCCAAATGGCAACATTAGACTCAACTTCAGTCCTATAAACATTGGTTTCCATGTCAATGACATGCCTTCTCACAAAAGGCAATCACATTTGTATTTTAAATAAAATAATTTATCATCAACTTGTGGACAACAATTGTATTCTAACCATTTTTAGGGCAAAGGCATTACACAGATTTTTGACACTATTCTCTTTAGCTCAATACTCTTCAAGAAATATAATATTGCAAATCGTGTTAACTTTCTTTGTATAATTTGGAAGTTTACTCCAGTTTGTCCTTATTTAAAGCTTCAGAAAAGCTTGTTCATCTGTTAATAAAACAACCTTCATTATTTACCTATCAACCACTTGAGTTTCCACACCTTGTTTAACAAGGGATGATTTCACATACTCTTCAAACTCTTTATGTAGGTTATGGTGTCTGACTAGCACATCATAATCAGTACCACGATCTCGAAGAAAAGTCTCCAGCTGTTGTTCTGTAAGATCACGGTGTTGTCTCCTAAGGTATTCAAATCTTGACAACTTGCTCAACACAACAGCACGTTGCAACTTGAAGGCATGTTGCTCAAGTCCCATATTCCCCATACTATGACATTGTACTGCAGCTAGATCAGATGCAGTGCCTAGAGCTATAGAACATTAGTTGTAAATTAATTGTGAATTCGTATTTAAAGTCCCACGAAATACTGAAAACCATTTAATATTAGCCAATTATATCATTAGCACTTACGTATTAGATTACATCAAGGATCTCTTTGAGAATGACAAATTTACACTTTGTTCTGCCATTCGACACTTACCTCTACTCATTTTCCTGAGAAAGATACGTAAACAATACATCTCAATAATTTAAATTTTGTTTTAATTTTCATTTAGGGAGATATATTGAAATTAAATCAATTCTCGGACCAACAGATGCGCTAACCACGCGTGTCGTTTATTGAATGGAGAAAGTCAGACTCGTGTGTAGATTTCAAGGGCTCTAGTCTCTTGCTTTGCGCCTCATTAACTTTAACATTTTAGGAGCCAGCAGCCGGTATGTAAGGTGTCGCCAGGTGTCGCGATGTGGACCAGGGCCCTATAACTCCCATATAACGTGGTGGGGACCATTACGGTGGCGCGCTCTGCTGCATCGCCTTCTTACACCAATGAAAATATGAACTGCTACCAACGTTACTTAAAACGTGCGTTGGTTCTCGGGACGCAAACACACGAGCTTGATACAAGAGATCGCGCCGCTACCTTTCTTTTTCGTGCGTGTATATTATGAATATATGAGTTTTAGAAGATAAACTCCTAGTATTTAACTTCTTTTGTAATTTATTTCAGAAATCCCTCATAATCAAAGTGTATTCGTATTTCTTGACCAATTTTTATGTGCTAAAGTTGGCGAGCCTTACCAGCAGCTGTATCCGGCGACACTAGCGCATCCTATAGTAGCAACCTCTAGCTTTGTCCCCGATTTTGATGGAGAGTTGCCGGGCCCTGATGTGGACCAGCGGGCGGAACGGTGGTGGACAGGTGGGGAACGATAGTACACGAGCACGAGCGAACAGATGGAAACACCGGTATTGGTGCCTCGTGACCACTACACTCAAATTTAAACTTAGTAGCACTTCGAGGTCATAAGTTGAACGGAGAGGGTAATACTGTCGCCCAATCGAGACCTTCATTATGGCAAATGTTTGGTATTGGAGCTCCTGAGTAGATGACAAAGTCCCCGTCTCCTTCCAGCTTGTGATCCGTAGGTGTCACCTCATTTAAATTGGAGTGTACACTTCACGATGACACTCGAGCACACACGAACGAAGGGTGTGCTTGCTTCAACTTGTTCACGAGAATTCACGGGATTCTCGATATGTGCCGGTTTTCCACGAGGAGCCCGCGAGTTATCGTTTCTGTTGCACTGTACAATTGAATTTGTCATTTCGAAGTGAGTACGAATTGTGTCTTTCGCGTTCGACAAGATTTTACGAAACTACGTTCAATATTTCTACATTTTCTGAACTTAAAACATTCTCATTGTATTCTTTTAAATTGTATTTTGGTTTTTAACCTCGTCTGGTGTCCAAGTGAAGGTATTAAAGTGTTTTTGTGTATTTATACTTGCGTGACAAACAGCAAATAAAGTGACATTTCGCCCAAGATATTTTTAGTTTTGACTGTGATAAGTAAAATGCATGACATTTGAATATATATGTTTCTAACAAATTCACGTACGTTGCATGTGTCAAGTTTTTGGTGAAGTAAATTAATTCGTTTTGTTTTGAATTGTTTCAGCCTAGTATGAGCTTTCAACATTGGGACGGTATTGATGATGATAATGACAATGAAAATGAGGAAACCTCAGAAGTTGTTGACTGGGGTGGGAGAGATGGTGTCATATTTCTTATTGATGCTACAGATTCTATGTTCCTGGAAGACGAAAATCGACAGGCTGATGGGACATCTGAAATATTATTCCGGAAAGCTTTGAAGGTATTTGTAATGTATATTTTATTGCACGTGAGAAGCTTTTTATTGCATTGTCATTTATTAAACAGCTTTCTTTTTCAGTGCAAATGATTGTTTTCTTCATACTTACATACTTACATTGGGATAATGTAAATTGATTAGATTTCTGCCGAGTTATTTCAACATGCACATCTACACACAACACTTTTGGGTACACATGCAAATCATGGTTTAATGATTGTGTTATACAAGCAGAGTTTTGAGTTTCTTGTCATCAGACGCTTTTGATTATAAAGTATATTCTGGTACCTACCCTGCTGCTAACTTCACTCGTTTTTCACAATGAGAGGTGTATAGATGAATTACTTTAAGTAGTATGTAATGTTACTAATCTTATCTGTTGTTAATCTTACATTTTTGAGTTTATTAACCAAGCATCAAAGTGAGAGGCCATTCAAACCACGTAGGTAGGTACCATCACCAAGAGATTTAATTTCCCCTTATTTTTAAAATAATCAGCATAAAAAGAGAAATAAATTTGAAGGGAAATAATTTTTTTATATTGTTAATTTAGTGAAGAATAAAAAGGGGGACGAGACCTTGGGGAACACGTGAGGTCACATTAACCATGGTAACAATGTGCCATGAATACACAGGCTACTCAATTTTCGTAATACATTCTGATCCAGGGTATCAAAAGGTTTGGGAAATCTGTGTACACCATTTCCACTTGACTTTTCTTCCTGTAAATTTCATGGCTGAGGAATCCAAATTCAGTACTCTAAATACCATCACAAAGCCATGTTTAGTCAAAAAGATAATGTCATCAAGTTGAGTTGCTCCACTAGCCAAAGAACCAATCTTCATATGTACCCCACGCACAACATGGTTGTAGTTTTGTTGTTGTTGTTGTTGTTTTTTTTTTTTGGTTTCAAAAGTACAGTCCGGAGCAATTTTTAATTTTTGCAGTTTCTTTACAACCTCCCCTACCACGTAAAATGACTAAGGTAACGTGGCATTTGGAAAAGTAACTTAAATTGGTCTTTGATTCTCCAAATCTAAGTTTGAGACTGCTAGATATTTTGTGTATTGTCTTTATTTTTATTTTTAGAAGTATTTATATATGCATTTCTCTGATAGTCAACAATACTCTCTAAAATTGATTGAACTGTTTGCTCTTTCACCATTAATGACCAGTGAATGATAAACATATGTTCTCCATTACGTATATATAAAAAAGTTTCAATTTTTTAAGTTTCAATTTTGCAATTTCAAGTTTCAAAACATTTCAAATTGGAAATAATTTTTTAAAAAATCTTAATAAAATTGGAGTCTTTTTTGAAAACGTTTTATCTTTCAGTTAGAGGCAACTTTTTACAATCTTATTTTTCTATATAAATACTTTTTGGCAGAATAATTATAAAACTAAAGAAAAATGCAGAGAAAAAGCAAGGAAAATGAATTCAGGTGACCAGCAGGCAACCTGGTTTTACACATTTAAGCTTTATTAAACAATTTTTGTCTGAAACTTGTTCATTCTGGCATAATTGGATGATGTGATAGTGATGATAATAATAACAATAATATTCTTCTTCTTATTATTAGGCTTATGGGCAATTTATCTGATATTACTTTGTTGTTGTTTCAGTGTTGTCATATGACTATGTTGAAAAAAATAATGGGATCTGAGAAGGATTTGTTGGCAATTGTTTTATTTGGCACCTCTGAGAAAAACAACCACTTAAATCTCAATCATTTGTATGTTTTACAATCACTTGAACAACCCAATGTGGAAAAAATTAAGGCCATCGATAAGATGATAAAATGTGAGTATTTTCTTAATTTATTGCTAATTTTTGCACCTAATAGAAATGCACTCCGTGGGGATTCATTACTAAGATTTTCTTTTACAGTTATTCTTTGTCAATGAAATTGTGTGTATTGTTTTGATTACCAAAGTTTTGAAAAATATTAAACAATTTTGTCTAGTAGGAGTCATTTTAAATCGGGTGGGATTTTATTGGTTGAGGTAGGATTTTTTGGATTCGGATAGGATATTTTGGATGCGGCCAGGATTTTTGTGGGTTCGGATCAGGGTTTTGGGGATTCAGATCGGGATTCTTGCCGTTAGACGTTTTTGATTGCTGTTAGATGTTTTAGATTCCAATCTGGTATTTTTATTAGGATCTGGTTTTTTATTTAAATCAGATTTTTGATTTAGATCCAACTTTTTTATTTAGATATGATTTCAAAAATTGTATTAGATGTTTTTACTTTGCACGAAATCGTTACATGGTTTATTTACCTTTAATTACTTTATATGCAGAAAAATGTTGATAAAAACACTAGCTTTTAAATTTAATTTTTGAAATTTAATTGAAAAATTTTTACTAATATATATTTGAGGAGTCCGGTGGAATACTGTCCTAACCCACAAAATCTTTAAATTTGATTTTGTTATTGTTCTGTGCTTGTGAACATCTTTTACGTACAAATTACCAAATAAGCTTGTAGCACCATCTATTAGCATAATTTAGAAAAAAAGCTTTTTTCGTTCAAAGAAATTTTACCATTCTTACATTCTTGCATTTACTAATGTAAGAAGAGAGAGAATTGTAATCGTGCGCCGGAAAACTGCGGATTTTCGACACAAAATCCTATTACTGAGCCCTGGCGTACAGATTCCTCACGTACGTGGTGTAACCAGAATCAATGTTTAATGCGTCTTACCGAAAAATGGATTGATGGCACAATATGTCACCGTCAGTACACAACGCTAGCGCATTAACCGTTCAGTGGACATTCCCCAACCGTACATTTTTTTGAAAATAACGAGTAGTTTTTGAATATTTTGCGATAGAATTTTATTTTTTAATTGAATAATTGTATTCACTTATAATAAGACGATAAAAAGTATGGTGGTAGTCATATTTTCATGTATTGAATGGCTTTTTGAAAATTGAGAAAAATTAAAACTACAAAATTGAAGATATAAATTTTTGTCTCAGACAAGTCTGTTGTTCAAAATTACAAGAAACTGCTACAAGAAACTATGCTGAGTTACGATGGCTACAACGGTACTCTTCAAAAACTGAGGAGGAACTTGTACGTTTTTTGGGTTCTTGTCCCGTTATACACCTTCAATAATCTGTTTGCAGGAAACTCATCTAGTTCTGCATACCTTTAGCTAGCGGACGAAGTCAGACAGTCGACTGAAAATACGAAATACATACATCCAGTTCCACCACACAACCTATCCTTTTGCGGTTTTATCCCTTATAGGGTCGATGTTGATGACGGCCTCCGCGCACGTGGCACGAGGCTTCTTTTATTCGTACCGCTGCTCTCTACAAATGTATGTATCAAGTGTGCGTGCGTGTGGGAGGGTGTGTTCATATGTGCATGTGTGTACCTCCCATCAATTACGCTCATTGTTTACATCCCTCAAGGACAAATGGTGTCGATTGATGATTTCTTAGAGGTGATAAACCAATTACCTACACCCTTCTTGATTGTTGCTTATGTAAACATCCACAACTTTTTGGGGGCTCTTCTTATACTTGCCAGAAGGGCGTCATTTTAGAATCTTTCATTGACACCACTTACCCAATGATTCAGAATGTGGGTAAATCATCACATTTCACCATAACAATGAATTAAGTCTCGCATATTGTCCTAGCCCTTTGCAGCCCTTCACTTCCAACCCCTATGTAGTAGGTCATAGAAGACATGTATGGGTATTAAAGACCATTTGCCTACCAATGTCCACATTGTTCAACTAGGTCGTGGGTTAGCTATACTCCCTTAATGGATCGTGCAACTCGCTGAATGGTCAACATTAGCTAATGTCAGCCTTTCGGGTGGTACATTGGTCGATGTTGTCATAATAGTTGCTCGTGTCAATACTCCTAAACCTGCTTTCATTGCTGCTCCATTCTTTAGCTGCCTCCATTGCGTTTCCCAAATCAACCGGTAAACTGCGACATCTGTCCCATGGCGGAATTCTAACTGTTCTAGAGCAGTTACACCCTTAAAAAGACTGGTACGACTAAGCATTATCCAATTAAGTAAACCGTAGAAGAACCGTTTTGGAAAAAAAATACGCACCATTGAGAGTATACGTCTTCTCTCTCATTTGCCACTACAGCATGTCTGGTGTGGAGGAAAATCCACCAAATTAAAGGACACTTGTCCCCAAACATGAGGCCAGGTCTCCTTGAGAATGGAGTGATTGTAGAGGTACTCGTTACTCACTACGAAAAAAGTACACAAAGAAGCAGTTGCAGTATACCAGATCCATGTTACTGTTACAAGTTCCCTTTTTACAGTATCATGGATCTGGTCTACTGCAACTGTTCTTTTTTTTCCTGTAGAGTTCGGCGAACTGCGCCCTTAGACGTTCTTTTGGCTAAAGAGAGATTGGAGATCCGTCCATTTGATTTTTCAAGCAGAGCAGCTGATTGCCATACCCGTTCTCCATGTTGTAAATGCACTTTGCTTTCGCGTTTACCAGTAGAACTGACCGAGGTTCTAATGAACTTCACTACCATACCAAATGTTGAATCATCGTCCTGAAATTGCAATGTATTTCCTCCTCCAACTTTATAATAGTATCTGGAAGAGCACACTATCCCTGCTGTATGTCGAGAATCCATTTTTGTCCCTGGTCTAAAAGAAGGAAAAAATCAATTATTGCCATCGAGATACCGTCCTATATATCTTACTTGCTGCTTTTGCAAAGGAGGAATACATGGTAAATCAGCGTTTGGTCTGGACCATGGAGTGCAGAAATCCGCTTACTTCAACACAGTGCAGGTTCAGAAAGCACCGGTCAACTCGGGATCATTTTGTTATTTTGGCAACAGACATTTCTACCTCTTCGTCAAGGGGCAACAACCTTGTTGCCATATGATTTGATACAGAAAAGGCCTATGACCACCTAGAGGTACACTATTCTGCGAACCTTTCACTTTTGGGGATTGAGGGGGAAGTTCTCCCTATTCCTCCAACACTTTATTTCTAATAGATCCTTCTATGTTCTCATTGATGATAAGCTGTCTAGTAGTCATCCTCTTGAAAATGGCATTCCGCAAGGTTCAGTGCTGAGTCTCCCATAAACAGTGTTGCCAGTGCAAGAATTTGTAAAGGCATCGCTGTTTGTGGTTGATTTTTCCATGTTTTGTTCGTCCAGCAACATTAGTGGCATCCATATTCATCGCCAACAGGTCCTTAGTAAACTACGCGACTTCCACTTTTCCACCATGAAAACTTCTCGTGTACTTCTGCAAAAAAGACCATGGTATAGCAATCTACATTCTACCTTGGACGCAATCAACTCCCGTTCGCTGAATCCTCGAGCGCGACTTTTGATAAAACCCTTAAGTGTGGTCCGTTGAAATGTGTTGGCCCATGTCCCGACATGATGGGTTCTCAAGTATTCCTTTCTTTCGCCAATCATCTTTATCTTCCCTCATCGTTCATTTTCGTTCTCTAATCACATCCTCCCTTCTGTGCCTTATATTTCACTGCCCTCCTTTCCGTATGCAGAACGCCCACCACTCATGTGTTTGCCGTGCACAGTGACCTGTGTCGGAAGCAATGTGGGTCCTGGCGGTTGAGGGGCCTGTTTGTTTCGCAACTACTCTCATTGAGCTATGATGTGCTTTGCACTTAGGGTACATTGATTACGTATATTAGGAAACATTCCTTGTAAGTTTCAACACACTGGCTTTGGCGTCGGACTCTCCTAGACGGGCAGTTGTGAGCTAACACACTTCCGATCAATTGGCTCGGACTAGATCTTATACTGAATTCCTGGGTGAGCGGGGAGATCCACGCCAGGGCAGCTGTGTCATCCCCCACTATATCTCCGTGTCAACCCTGGTACCCCAGTAGGGTGTCCCCTGGTGGACTCCATAGTGGGTGGGGAGCACGGAGACAAATTTCTATCCATCGTACCCATTCTTCCCTCTTCCGCAAGGAGGAGGCAAGGTGCGGGACGAACTATTGATTGATACCTTTTCTTAAAAAAATGACAGAATGAAAAACCTTGTTTTCTCGTGGCGTGCGCCGAGGAAGGGAAAAGGTTTAAAAACATCCATCTGGCTGTCCATCTGGCACGAGCTTTAGAGGAAGAATACCGGAAGTTCCAAGTGGTCGTTCGACACAGAGGAATGGAATGCTTCTATTTGAAGTACGTACCGATGAACAAATTGAAAAATCCTAATAACATAGCCGATTGCCGGTCTCCAGGTGCTTGTGGCGACTCATCTAACCATGAATCTATGAAAGGGGGTGGTTAACCAAGAAGACTTGCTTCGGAGTGATGATCTCTCCTTCAAGAGAGGCGTCCCTGAAGTGTGTAGGATCAAAACGAAGGAGGAAGGGAAAGTGATGTCAACCTTGATGATCTTTTGAGAGATTCAAAAGATAAGTCACCTGAGGTCGCTGAGTCCAAATGTCACCAGGCTAAGAATCCAGTAAACCTGTCACAATCCTTCTCCAGTGCACTAAAGACAGTCATTATGGGTAACAGCAAGTTGCCAAACAACGTGCGCTTGCTCTGGTAGCGCACTTCAATGCACAGGTGTCGCCTACAGACTTTCCTGAAGATCTGGCATGCATCCAAGGTGGAAGAGCAATAATACCTATGAAGTGTAAAAAAAAAATAGCTAAAAACTCTATCTCTTATACCGAGCCCCTTATGTTAATCGATTCCAGTCAGGTATCGCCTCTGAACAAAAATTATGGAAGTTCCGACTACTTCTTACTACTTGCGAGACTCGAGCGATCCTCCAGCCCCTGTAGATCTCGGTCGCCTGTGGCAGAAAACGGGAAGTCCCTCGTCACTGGCGACCATCTTCAGAAGCAATCAGGATGACTGCTGTTGACGAGAAGCACCACAAGAGTTCTCTGCAACGTTTCTGAAGGTGAGAAAGAATGAGAAAGCAACCAAAGAAATACTTCCATATCTCGTGGAATTTACACGACTTTCGTGCATATTCAGAAGCATTGAGACAGATACTATCTCGCCAAAGACCATTCGTCTGCATTCACGAAAGTCATCTTCCTCATCATTTCCTCTTCGCTGTTTTAGCATCTATCGGTTTTATCAAATCAACGGACTCCATCCTCACTTTGGTGTCGTGGAACTTATCTGTGATTGGCTGTTCTCTGGGGAATAAAACGTTCGAACCGACTTTCAAATCGTATGCGTTCGGATACACCTACCGTCCTTTTCGCTAACGGTATGCAATGTATACTCGTACATTCATCCTCGCCAGGTCGTGTCACAAGAACTTCAAGATGGGTTTTTCAGTTGCGCGCCCGCTTATTGTGGGGAACTTTAATGCCCACAAGTACCCCTGGGGTGGCACAAGAACCTGCCCGAGAGGTAATATATTTGAAAATATAATTGACCATCAGAACACAATTTTTCAGAATACTGGCGAAAGCACACAGTGTCTTCAAACACTTTTTCTTCCGTAGATCTGGCTCTCTGCAGTTCCTCTCTCCCCACCACCTTTGAATGGACTGTCCTTGGCGACCTGCTTGGTAATGACAATTTCCCCAGTCTGGTCAGTTTATATATCTCGGCCCAAACGTTGCCCGCTCTCGCTGGCTAGTCCACCGAGGTGAGTGGAAAATATTCGAGAAAGAAAGATATAAGAAAACTGCCCAAACGAGAAAATGTGGTTGCACATTTTACTGATGCCGTTCTTTATGCGGCCTCAATTACCATCCCGAAGTCATCGGGTCTCCCACTACATCCTCCCATGCCATGGTGGGATGCCGACTGTGCCTCTGCGGTGTGTTCGGAAGCGGGCTCAGGTTCTCAAAGCGAGAGCTAGATTGGTGATACGGGAAAGTAAAGCTGCGTCTTGGAGAGCCTATTTTTAATTATTTCTTGCCATTCATCCCCTAAATAAGTGTGTTGAAAGGTTCGACAGATCAGAGGAGGACTTCCTTCGTCGTCTGTCTTGCGGCTTCTGCTAAATCTCACCTCACCAGAATATATAGTTGAAGAATTTTTTACCTTTCGCTACGAGCATCTCCAGTTCCGTACAGTACCGTCGTGAACATCAAGAGAAGAATGGAGAAATGCGGATTAGATTTCTCGAGTCGCGTGGAGGAAGATTACAATTCTCCTTGCTCCACGGATGAATTTTCCTGTGCTCGAGCTTGCGCGAAAGATTCTGCTCCAGGACCAGACCAGATACATAGTCACATGCTTAAACACCTACCGGAACACGTTCGTTTTTTTCTGTGCATTCTCAACTTGATTTTGGATAAACATTCCTTACCAAGGATTTGGCGTGAAGCCATTCTTATTCCGATCCCTAAAGAAGGAAAGGACAGAACAATCCTCACAAGTTATCACCGAATATTGCTCACAAGCTGTGTGTGCAAGCTTTTGAAACGAATGGTAAACATGTCTGGTTTGGCTCCTGGAACAAAGGAATCTATTTACACCTTTTCAGTGTGGTTTCAGGAAGCACAGGTCAACCATGGACCACTTAGTCTCCCTTGCCACTCAGATCTCCACTCTTTCGTGCTACGATCTGGTAGCAATTTTGTTTGACATAGAGAAAGCGTATGACCACCTGGAGGCACAGCATTCTTCGCACCTTGCATTCTTGGGGCCTTAGGGGACGGTTCCCTTCGTTTCTAATAGATTTTCTTTCGTCAAGGTCTTTCCGCGTCCGTCTTGGTGACACGTTATCCTCAAGTCACCAGTAAAAAAAAACTGTGTTCCCCAGGGATCAATTCTGAGTGTAACTCTTTGCTATTGGTGTCAATAGTGTCGCAGCAGTTATTCAAGCATGCTCTTCATTGGCAACTTTGCCATATTTTGCTCCTCGAAGAACAATGTAAGTTATTGGAGGCAGTTACAGAATTTGTATCCTCGACAATCTGCAAGTATGGAACATTGAAACTGGATTCAAGTTCCCCACTTCAAAATCCAGTTGCATGCACTTCTGCAGAATTCATCTCCTCCATTATCACCTGGCATTTTTCTTGTGGTCATCAACTTCCGTTCGGTGAATCCGCCACGTTCCTTGGTCTGGCGTCCGACAAGAGTTGAACATGGCGAAATTATATTAAAAACTTGAAGATCTGATGTGCATCCCCGTTGAACCTCCTTCGCACCCGAGTATGTTTGTTGCGCCTGTGTAGAACCATCACCAGTCTTATCTTAGTTTATGGGAGTATTGTTTATGGATCCGCGTCTCTGTCGACCATGTGGCCATTGAATACCATACACAATGCTGGTTTATGGATCGGCACTGGCACCTACCACTCTAGTCGCATTGAATGCCTCTTGGCTGAGGCTGGTGAAGCATCCCTAAGCCAGAGGCGAGATATTGTAATCGGCTCGAATGGTGCGAAAGTATAAACTATAAATACTCCTTGAAGCCAAGCAGTTCTTTACCCATGTCACAGGACTGTACGCTTTCAGACCTCCGGGTATAAGTCTACACGATTTTGCAGTAACTCAATATAAAATTCCCCATCCCTGTGAAAACCACCCGAAGTCTTGTTCCTCCATAAAACCTTCTCTGGCCTAAATACACATGAGATTATCAAACTTCCCCAAATCCTGAACTCCCCCCAGTACATTTCTGGCGGAATTTCAGGAGACGAAATTCATGTATCCTGTCTGTAACTTCATATACACTGATAGTTCCTCCCAGAATGGTGAAGTAGGATGTGCCTTCTATTGCTACAGTGCCACACGGAGTCTTCGAATACTCTTCTTGCAGCGTTTAAACTGCAGAGAAATATGTGGTCTTGAAGGCACTTAAATTTGCTGAACCGAGGACATTAAAGTAAGCAGTGATCTGTAGTGATTCAAAAAGCTTGCTCGAATCCATCTCCTGCATCTCTTGAGATCCTCTGAGAATAATCATCCAGGACCAAATCCATCATTTATTGATGCGTCGTTATAATTTATTTTGTTTTTTGGATCCTTGGCCACATTGGGATAATAGGAAATGTAATGGCTGACCAGGCAGCAAAGCTCGCCACGAAGAAAACTAAGGTAGACATCCTCACAGTCTTAACAAATGATACCAAACTGTTTATCAAACACTCTATTCTTGGTGCATGGCAAACAGTAGCAGTACTCTGATTTTAAACTCAGAGAATCAATGATCCCATAAAGCCTTGGTCTTTGGTTGCTTCAGTCTTTGGTTGCTATATCTGTGAGGTTAGTTTTTCATTTTCCTGAGGTTTTCAGTCTACTGCAATGTACCTAAATGAACTTAAGTGTATGCATTACATTTGTGGTGTAGTGGATGACAATGCTTGGAGTGTGTAGTTACTTAAATTCAACACTGGTGATTCAACACAACGATGATGATGCAATAATACAATAATATCAACAGCTAGGAAGGACCATAAAACTTTTGAAGTAATCCGTTGCCACTTATGTGAACTTGGGGGGAAGTTTTACAAGTCTAACATACTCCAGGGGACACTTGGCATCCTGGATGTATTTGACTTATGCAGGATGAAGAGGCTTCTTGTGTGCATCATGCCAGCCTGTTAGACAGTTGTTCTAGACCATTTTTGAAAATGTTCAGCACATGATGTAAAGACTAGGAGAGACTTGTATTCAGGCAGTTACATTTAACTTTTAAACATTTCTTGTGATATGCGATCTCAGGACTAAAAGTTGTAAATCTGATAACTCTGTAATATTAAGCATTTCCAGACCTCTATTGCACAAACCTTTCTCTCCTTCTCCATATTTGAAGAATCCATTCCTGAAGTTGGGCCATTGAGTTTTGTTACTTTCTGTATAATTTTTAAAATATGTTTTTAAAAATTTGTATTGGGTCTTCATTATTTATGTGTTTTTCAGCTGACTCTTGTGGTAACTTCAGGAGCAAATATGGTCATTCTGATAATTACTGTTTGCAAGATGCTTTCTGGTTATGTCAGTCTATGTTCTCAAATTGGTGAGTTCATGTGTTTATTGCTCTTTTTAACAAACAATTCTGCTTACTTTGGTATATTTTTCCTGAAAACCTGATGAACCACAATGATTCAGTTAAAATGTTTCCATGAAGCTGAGCTTTACACATTACACGTTTACACATTACACGTTTACACATTACACATTACATGTTTGACTGTAAAAAAGAAAAAAAAATACAGCTGATAAAAATTATTTACATGTAGCTTTGCAACAGAGCAATTAGGTTTGTTTAAAAGGCGCATACCAATGCCAAACTGGTACTGGGAGAACACCAATTTGTGTGTGTGTGTGTGATAAATACACCACTGTTCTGTACATAAATACTAAAATAAGATTGTAATTTAACAGTAAGTCCCTTCCTAAATAAAGATACAGGGAAAAAAACTGCTGGGGTTCATTGTTGACCCCCCTGCCCCTTTGATATGCGACTGTTAACTTTCTATGAATCGTATATCGGGAAAGTTCTGCAATAGTACCTAGTTCAGAACAAATTTATTTCCACCAAAAAAACTCAAACTTTAAACCTGTGAAAATATTAAATACCCTGAACTTCTGTTCCCCTTCAAAATCAAATTATTGAGGTTCTACTGTATGGGTGGTTTTATGTAGTTTTGAGTTGTTACTCATTAAAAACAATACTACTGATGGTATAGCAATATGACTTGTACAAACTACAAAGCTAAAAAAATTATTTTGTTTAAATAATTTTTTGTTATTTTTATTCCATAGCACCAATGATTTATAATTTTCTAACAGAAAGACCTTACACTCCTCATATGACAGCAGTAAAGCATGCTTGTGAAATATGAAAGAGTTAGATCAACTATTTTTTAAGACCTATGACTTTGCCTCCAATAAAGTGTAATTTCTGAGATAATAACACTTCTTCATGACAAAGTACTCTAAGTAACACTTGGAAAAGTAAGTCAGCCACATGTAATCATCACTCTAAATATTTAACACTCTGGGTTCATGTACTCACCAGTTCTAATTTTTTCCTTTTATGACTATTAAGAATTGTAATAATTTATCCATTAATTATTATCTGTTAATGTAGTATGCTTCAATTACTGTTGATCTTTTATGCACACAGCTATTTTATGACAATCAACCAAAAGTAATCAAAATCTACATTAATTTTCTATGCAAATAATTAAAGGTTACACAACCACACAATACACATCACATCATCACAAATAAAGAACAGAATGAAATGTATAAAATCACTTAAAATTATCGCAACCCTTATTTGGAAATGATAATCACAAATATACAAAACATATATTAAACAGTCAGTCAACATCACTCTTTTAGTTAGTTTTTTGAAGGCACTTTTTGACAGTGCGTAATAAATATTATTTCTATCAGCTATCCTACACATTCTGTTAATTGGAGCATTAAAAAACAAATTAAATGGAGGGTGGTGGTGCAATTCTGGTTTCAGATTTATATTCATTACATCAACATATATAGAGAAACATATGTTAAGTCTTTGGGTTTGACAACTACCTCTGAAGAGAAAAAAAAATACATTGTCACGGTTGTTTTTTGAGGATAAAAATGAACTGGAGGGTGATATCGCAATTCTGGCCTCAAATTCGGATTCACTCGATTGACGTTCATAAAGAAACATCTCAAGTCGTTGGGCCTTTTTTTATTTTGTGTACCTGTGTTATGAACTAAAAATTTGGGTTACAAATGTGAGGAATACTTAGTCTAAACATTACAAATATAGTTGGGTGTGTTAAAATTATCATCACTAAATTGAGCTTTGCAAAATATAATAAAAGTATTGTAAATTTACCTTTTGTAATATATTTTAAAATATTGTTAATCACTTGTAATTAGTTTCTGTCTGTTTTTGTGTAGCGAGTTGAAGATGACTATCCAAAGAATTTTACTGTTTACGGCAAATGATAATCCACATGCTGATGATCGAAGTGAACAGCAAAGAGCACTTGATCGAGCAAATGATTTGTGTGGGCTAAATATTACTTTAGAAATTCTTCCTTTGACATCTAACTTTGATGTCAATCTTTTCTACAAGGTGAGTTATAATTTCTTTATGATTTATCTAATGACCCTTATAATTGCAGATAATACTCTGTAAAATGGAATTTCCATCGTAAATTCCCATCATAGGTTTCCATGTTATAGATAATTGTCAAAAACTCGCTATTGTCTGTCCGCTCTTAGAAAACTCCTGATGTTAACAAACCAAGGGAATCTTTGCGCTGCACTGTTCTTCCAATTGGATAACTCGTTGTACACTACTTTTGACAACTCGAGCAACAGGCTGAGTACAGCTTAGGTCATTATCAATGTTGGACATTCACTCGTATGTTTACTTTTCAATTCATTTTTCTAAGGGTGAACAACAATATTTAATTTAAAAATTATATTTTCAATATAGTTTTATCAGTGAAACAAAAGATTGAATTGAATTGAGTTGATGCCTCATTTTACGTGGTGAGACTCAGGCCATGAGGCCTGCTCTTCCGTTTGACCACACAAATTTCGCTACGCTCCTTTCACCAACTAGCAGAGAAAGGCAGTATTTCTTGGGCGAGAAACAGGCAATTTCAAATTTAGCTCAGAGGTGTCATTTAGGCTTGAGGACCCTTTACATGCAAGTAAATCTACTAACATGGGACAGCCGGCTTTACTTCCCCTTCGAAGGAAGGCGTAAAAAGGTTTTTTTCGTCCTTAAAAATCCACGACTTCGATAGGGCTTCAACCCGCCAACTTGGGTACAACAGACCGGTATGCTAACAATTACACCATCGCTGCATGCAAGGTTGGTAGTAATGCAACAGTTACACCTTTAAATAATAGCAACACAGGAAAGAAAAATGTCAACAGGAAAGCGCAAGGAAAATAACGAACATGCATTAATTTTACAAGGCATTAATTTCAGTAATATAATCTAACATAAGTACATTATTTACAATTACAAACCTTATTGAATCCCTAATGTTGGCAAGGTAAATTGTCAATTTTTATTCATGTTATTAGTCGGTACATTATTTTTTCCCTTGTAATTCTATCATCTCAGGATCGTCCTGTGAATAAAAATATAAAAATTATTTGAAAACCAATTAATATTGGAAACATTATGTGTGTTATATGTTTGATTGAGATAATACTGGTTTCATTAAGTTAAATATTTTCCTACTCCATAGGATTTGGTGGTGGCTGCAATGGGAGAAGACTATGCAGAACAAGCTCTGGGATCATCTGCACAACAGATTGAGGATTTATTAATGCGCGTGTGCCGTTTCAGCCACAAAAAACGTTCCCAAGGTCGACTTCTATTATACTTAGGGCCAAAATTGGCTATAGGTGTTGGAGTTTATAGTATGCTCAGGTGTGTGTTCTCGGTTTGTTACTAGTAAATTAGATTACATCTTCGTATAGGACAAAGGTCCCTTTTCTTGAAATCAGATGGGTACTAGTTGGTCTTTAGTTTGCTTGTCAATTACTGTGAGTGTTCTTGTATGTTTTGTAAGTATGATTCATGAGTTAACATAAAACAAATTTCTGAATCTTGCTACCCTGCACAGAATTACTCTGTTACTTAATGCAGCCAAGAATGCTGTAGAAAGCTTCTATTTACTTTTATTTGTGTTCAGAACTGCAAAATGGTAATATTCCAATTTTGAAGTTAATACCGTAAATCGGGGTAAAATCGAGCAAGCAGAGTAAATCCAATGATTCGCACTGAAATTCACTTTTGGATTGTTGCTACTCAACTTCTGTGAATTCCTTTCTGTTGTGTCTTGAAAGTGTTTTGAATGTTCTTTAACAATTGATCTATAGTTACAGCGCATTTGCAATTTTCATTGAAATTAAGGGGCCATATTTATGAAAATTTTGTTTGCGTTACTCCAGTGTTGAAGCAATCTACCATAACACCAATTGTTTGATAAAAGAGAAAAGAAATTTTCACACAGGTAAATGCTGTATACTGTGTAGACAGATATTTACCTATATAGTTTTCAATCTGTTTAGTTGACAAACCTAAATAAATGAATGTGTTACTTTGTAGAGTAAATCCAATCATGGTGAGAGTTTATGAAAAGAAACTTGGTCCTGGCTGAAAACAAAATTAACTTTTGAATACTTGACTAGGGCAGTCCATCATGTGTTGGCTAATGTTCATAGAATATGCAAGACGCGTGAGAAGTATGTTGTATCACATTCAGTGCTAAATGATAAACTGAAAAATAAATATGAATTCAAAACAGGTTGATAGCCCGCATCGTATCTAGTTAAGAAATACAACTTACTGAGGGATTAATTCATTGCAGAGAATGGTGTTTCCCATTGAGAATCCTTGATGCGCGCAATGTTGTTCCAGAACATTTAAATCGTTCTTGTAAAATTGAAAAACAGTTCAAAGGCGTACTGGCAGTTCAGAATGGGTTAATGGGTTTCTGATTTGCCATACAGAATTTTCTGCTGAAATGGCTGAGAATACTAAACGAAGCAGAACTATTGTAACTAAGGGAGCAATTAAAGAGTGCTTTAAAAATCTTGGAATTTCTCTTGTTGGAATTCCTCCTTCCCATATAATAAATGATAACAAAAACAACTTTACAGACAATCATAGTCAAGAAAATATTATTGTAAAATTGGCATTAAACATCCTGAAAGAATAATAATGTATCTAAGACCAGTATCAGTGTCATGGTAGCTGCTGCAGCTGATGGATCACTTCTACCACCATATACCAAACACAAGACCTAACATAGTATTTATCCCGCATGCACTGAAAGGGGTGTGGAAGGCACCCAGTACAACCCAAATTCAAATGGATGGTTTGAATATTAGTTTCAATATATTTTCTTATCATATGCAAGGAGAAATGAAGACAGAGAAGTAATGATAGGGGATAATTTAACACATTTGCGCTTTCCCTTCAATGTGGCATTCTTCAGACTGCTTAAAGCTGCTTGGAGAAACATTTTAAATGAATGGAAGAATGCAAATTGAGTTCTTCCCAATGCCCTACGTATTTTAAGCAAACATTTGAGAAAATTGGTATTGCTTCTTTAGCAAATATTATTAGTAGTTTTAGGAAAACTGGAATTGTTCCATTTAATCCTGAGAAAGTCCTTCCTCTGATTGTTGCAACTATGACTGAAGAAAACTGGGAAAGATCACAAAAATGTACGGAGATACTTTTTCATTACCTTCAGAAAGCATGTGTGGGTGAGTTGTAGCCCTCCTCTGTTTAGAGAGGGAGAGGAAAACATTAGAATGTTTCTGCAGGTAAAGGAATTTCAATTAGAGATATGGCAGAAGATGAACCTGAAGAAAAATTCTTTGACAAGGGAAGAAGATAGAGAAATAGAGGAGCTGAAAGAGGAAAAAAAAATAAAAATTGTAAACTGAAGAACAAGAAGAATCTGAAAATAGAAGTTGTTTGTTAGGAAATAAAGAAGTTTGCCAGAATCATGAAGATGATATTAAGACAGGTGATTAGTTCCATTTCCACCAAACAAACACACCAGAAAATTTGTTGATCAAGTTGAAAAATATTTATGTAATCACAAATATAGTTAATTTTACAAACAAGAATTTTAATTCGAAAGATCACGGTTTTCAATTTCCAGAAATTTCAGGAAGTTAGAAAGATGTTATGAATGTAAAGGGATGTTGAGGAAGACATATTTTTGTGTGTTAACAAGGTATCAATGTTGAATGAAGACTGTATTGATAAATTTTTATTTGTTTTGTTTGTTTTTATGACTTTCTCTATTTACTTGTAATGAACATTGTGCCTGTAACTCCATGAATTAATACGTTTGCAATATTATTTTTGTTGTTAAAGCTTAGATAGCATTACTGTACTATTGGAAATTATATACAAAAATTAGTTTTCTGATCAGTTTTAAGCATAGAACTGCACAGAAAGCTAAAATACAGAAATTAAATAGATGATTAGTTATACTCCAACATGCAGGGTAATTTTGATCACACTTCATTTGCTCGATGGCTGCAAGCCTGTTTTACAAGAGTTCTATAAATGTGGGAATAGATAGAGTTAAGGAAAATAAGCAAAGAATATCAAATGAAAATATTAAGCTCATAAAACTAAAACACTAGCCTTCTATGGCAACATCTTAGAGCAAAAATGGTAATAGAAAATTCAATAATTGAACACGTTACCAGTTTTAAATATCATGGAAATTCAATTGTATTGAACCAGAAGGATATTGAAGAAAAATACAAAAATATGAGAGAAACACTAGATTAATAAAGAGACATTTTGGACATATGAGAAAAGAAGCAATGATGAGAATCTATAATACAGTAAAACTCCGTTTTTACGTTCCCACATTTTACGTTTTCTTGCCTTTTACATAATTTTTTGTTGGTCCCGTTGAAAAGCCTATATTTACAATGTATTCTCTTCCCGCAATTTACAACTTGATATGAATAGTGCTTCGCAACTTTTACGTCTTTTTTTAAAATTTATGTTATTTTATTTTTTACTTTCTCGTATACGTACGTTTTATAACTAATGCTGGGAAAGTTGTGTAAAGCTGCGGCAAAAAAAACGACGATTTTTCGACAGAAAAACTAACTGATACAGAAAAAGTGGATAAATCCTGTTCCAATATGTAGTAAATTACACATATGTATGTAACAAACTGGCAAAAGCCTCGTGTTCGTTCATATCAATTGAGGAATATCAATTATGGAGAAAATTGGCAGGTGGTTTAGGTGCTTGCATTGACCAAAGATGTTTTTAGCCGGGAAAACAGCTAGCAATCGATTTTGTGGTTTTAAGGATACATAAAAAAGGGATTCAGGCTACACAAAGTGTTAGAGGAAGTAATTTACTACGTATAGGAATATGATTTATCTACATTTTCATTACCAGAGCACGTTAATAGGAGATTTTCTGACGAAAATCGCAGATTCTGTCACATGCTTTTTGTTTCTCTTCTTATGAAGGGCGAGAAAGTGAAAACTGAGTAACCATTGTAGAAAATAATGAAAGTACTCACTAAGCCTGTTTTTCAACTTTCTGGTATTTTACACTTTTTTACATTGGGCCCTTGAAAAGTGTAAAAGAGGGGTTTTACTGTATTACATCAAGACCTATGTATGTTAAAGTATGGTTCAGAAATGTGGATAGTGGGTATAAGGAAAACCAGAAGCATAGAAGTAGCTCTGAGGAAGTTTCTAAGGGCAGTGTTAAAAGTAACAAAAAGGTACAAAATTCAAAATTATATAATTAGGAAAGAACTGAAAACAGGAAATAGCAGATAAATTAACAATTATCAAAGGAAATGGAGAAAAACACATGAAAAGAATGGACAAAGAACATCTACCACAGATGGCATTAAATTATAGACCGAATGGCAAGAGGGATAGAGGCAAACCGACAAGATGGCACCAGCAGGAACACTTCACCACATGAAGGAACTATGCTTTACCCACTAACAGAACAGGAGCACCGCTTCTAAACTGAGGGCGATGATGATGGTGAGGATGAGAATAGATAAATGAAAAGTTACATTCCATATCAGAAATCAGAGAGTATTTGTGCACTTTGTTATAAGATATGTATATGAAAAATGCAAATAAATTATCAGTTTTACCTCAGTTTACGGAAATAAATTAGATTAATGTGTAACTATACCTAAGAATGTTACATGATACACACGTACACATATACACTTGCATTGAACACTTCAATCTGTTCGTGGCATGACATGATAACAATATACCATTTATTCTTGCAGGAGACGTCCTATGCCGAAAAGACTGTGGCTGGAGAAAAAAACAAACCTTCCTGTAAAATCTTCTGTACATAATTTTAATGCTGTAAGTGTATAGTTTATAGTTCAAGTTCTTAAATACTTTTGTGCTGTTAATGTAGGTAATTTATTTTTATTTGTTTGATAGTTATAGAAACCTACAAAAATCGATGTAAAGCAAGTGATTATTTGGAAGAAACTTGGAGGTTGTAAATATAAGGTCATCTTCCTCAATAATTCCTATTTTGTATCTCACGATTGGCATAAAAAGATTGAAAGAATTGAAATACTTTTCCAACCCTTCAAACACACCGCATAATGAATCACTTACCTTTTATTTAGGAAAGATATGCCTCTGAATATTGGCCCTCGGGTACGTTTTGTGACTTCAGTTGCCCTGAAGTAAATGTAAATGTTTTCTCCTTGATTTAACTATTCACTTGTGGTTATTCCAAACTTAACATATTAATTAGATTCATTTTAAATGGTCCATAGATAATCTGTATTGTAATGTTTCTTAGTGGTGAATTAAAACACCAGTAATATTTAAGAAAGACATTTATTTTGTTTCTTAATGATACACTAAAAATATTTGATTTATGTACAGATAGGTTGTACAGTCCTTGTGTTCTTCACTTGGTTATTTCCTTACACACGACTCACTTCTTTTGATTATTTATTTACACTGTTCACTTCTGCACTATCGCACAGTTTGATGCACCTACCACTGTCCGATTTACTGACTACAGTTCACGGCGCTGATCACGGTCCTCTGCACTGCTGTTCACCGACTGCACCATTGTTCACTACAATGCACACTTCACAATTCAGCTTCCACTTCAGACTGCTAGCAGGCGCTGGCAGCAACGAATTTGTACCTGACTGACGCTTGCCTGGAACTTTCTGGAACTTGCGTCACACTTCTATGAGACTCGCTAATAACCTGGAACCGTCCAGTTTGTTGGCGCCGGCATATGACGCAATATTCGTTACAGTATTATATGATTGCGTAGGCTTCTGCAGCCAGAGTTTGTATCTTCTGGGCTATCCAGGATGCACATGCGTCTTGGTGGCTGACGTTTCAGCCAACATGTGGCCTTGCTGAGAGTGTATTGCTGTCAAATAGCTAGCGAGGCTACCTTATATGAGGGAGAAAAGGAGTGAGGGGGATTGGCCCAGGTGACCAATAGGAAATAGTGGCAGGTGGTATGATTGTTGGCAGAGAAGCAGAGCAATAAGGGAGTAAGGGAGCAAGTGGGGCAGCAACAAACAATCGAGTAATTAATCCTAAAATTTTCTTTACCAATGTATCATCTCTCGTCCCCAAGTTTCACCAATTTCTCTCAGAAGTTAACTCTGTACAGCTAGATGTCATGATTGTTATGGAATCTTGCTGTAATCCTATTATCCAAACACTTTGATTCATATTCCTGATTTCTCAATCTTTCGCAGGGATGTATCAGATAGA